CAGTTGACTTAGCGGTCAATGCCCCTTTTGACCCCCCAAACGGAGTCCGATTAACTTGAAATTTTATACACATATACTTCTTGATGTACTTGATCCAAAAATACCATTTTGGATCCCTGGATCATCACACAAAATATGTTACCACATTTTTAATCACCAAACGTACATAACATGCTTTTCAACTATGTTTTATGCAAAATCATGGCATAAGCAAATACTTGATTATCTTTAATCATTCCACAAAACATATCCTTGATTACTTTAGGTAATCTCATGCCTCACGCAAAAGTTATAAAGCATAAAGCCGTCTTCTCACCTCAATGAAGCTTATGAAGTTCTAGCCTTCCCGATTTAGCTCCCGTGAAACTCCGGCGAACTTCAACGAACTCCGGCGACAACTCCGGCGACTCTTTCAACTCCGTGAAAGTTCCTTGAATACCTTAGACAAGTTACTAACAAGGTTTTATCATCATAAAACCCATAGTAGTACAAATAACCCCCAAAAGGTTATTTTCCGGCGAACCGGACCCTTTGGCTTCTAAGTCCATTCTTGGGCTTAGAACCACCTTCCAACCCCTCGTTCTACACATCCCAACGTGTAGAACAATACTAGGATGTGAAATATGATTGAATAATCATATAAGATGATTAAAGAAAACGAAATGGGGTTAATGGAGTCCTTACCTTGCTAAACACAAGTTTTCCTCTCCAAAACCAACTTTTCCTCTTCTCTTTTCCCCTCCTTCTTCCTCCTTTGTTCTTGGTGCGTGAAAGGATGAGGAAATGGAGTATTTCAGACCTCCTCTCACTTCTTTGAGTAGGTTAACCGAGCTGTAGGAGTTGGTATGATTGAGGATGCCTTTTTGGCATTTCTCATAAAAATATCTTGGCCAAGGACCCACTCTCATGTTGATTGGTCTCCCAATCAATTCTTGATTGCTCCCCCCTGATCTTGTGCGGCTCCTCTGGCCATTCCCAGAACTAAAAACGTGGGTTGGCCCCCACTTATGTGGGAGGTCAACCCTTTGTGTCCCGGAGTGTACAATCGGTCCCGAAAGTTGTATTTTCCGGACCGTTTTAAGTATATTTCATTTTATCGGGTCAAATAAAATATAACATTTGTTCCCAATCCTTATTGGGCCTTAGAATCAATATGATTCCCCAACTTTAATTTAGAAATCTCCGGACTCCCTTTTTGGGCTGTTATCAGATAAATTGCCGATACCGATAATTTGGCCCCGTTTGACCAACCGGTCAACTCTATGCCATTGCCATGGCCCAATTAGGATATCCATCACCATATCCATATTATCTAGTCCAAGATTAATATAATATGTGGTCCCGATAATATCGGGCGGCCCCACATCCGGTGTGGGCCCCACGTGAATTTTACTATTCACGTAATAGAAATGATAAAAATTTACAATCACGTAAAAATGCTTTTATACATTACTCGAGGTTCAATACATAATTTGGTACAGTACAAATACTCGGGGGCGGTGTTACACATAGAGTACGTTTTCAATCGTCCCCTCTTGTCCATTCTTTTGCAGAAATTTAACCTTTCCTCGGCCTTTGATAACTACTTTTGATGTATCTCCAAAAGATACATTTCCTCCCTCAGCCTCCTTCAACGCAGTGAATAAATGTTTATAACCACTCATGTGGTTGCTCGCCCCGGTATCCAAGTACCACGTAGCGTCGTCTGTTAAGCTTCCTTCTTTGTGTGCTAGTAAGAGCACTCCTTCCTCATCTCCATCATCATCCTCATGCTCAGCAACATTTAGATTCTCCTCCGGTTTTGGTTTCGACCAACAGTCTCTTGTGAAATGTCCCCGTTTCCCGCAATTGTAGCATTCCCCATCGGGTCTGCCTCCCCGACCGCCTCGGGCAGCTCCTCTGCCTCGGCCTCTCCAGGTCGGGGCGATGTTGGTCCTCCCGGTTCTGGTGGGTATTCTCCTCTCGGTTGTAGTCTCCTCTTCCTTGGCCCCGACCACGGAAGTGACCTCGGCCTCGGCCTCTCGGTTGATGGGCATACATTGCCTTCTCCTCTACCACCACAGTTTGTAATGCCTCTTCAAGCGATTCTAGCCGCTTCATCTTTCTTTGTTCATGTGCCTCCAACGACCCCGACAGGTCGTCAATGGTAAGCGTCTCAATATTTCTAGCTTCTTCGATTGCGCATACCACGTTCTCGAATTTGTCCGTAAGTGTTCGTAGAATTTTTTCTACTATCCGACTCTCACTTACGGTTTCACCATTTCTCTTCATATGGTTTGCTATGGTCATCACCCGATTAATGTACTCGGTGACCTTCTCGTTCTCTTTCATCCGCATAGTCTCCAACTCTCCTCGTAGAGTTTGCAACCTCACTTGCTTTACTCTTTCCCCTCCTTTGAATACTCTTTCGATGATGTCCCAAGCTTCTTTTGAAGTTTCGGCATCGGCTATCTTCTCGTGGATGGTGTCATCCACTGCTTGAAGCAACCAAAACAGTGCCGTTTGGTCCTTCTTTTGTGCTCCTTCGAGTTCCACTTGTTGGGCAACCGTCAAGACGGTTCCTTCCTCCGGTGTTGTGTAGCCATTATCGACAACATACCATACTCTTTGTGACTTCAACAGTGCTCTCATTTGAGCATTCCATCGGTCGAAGTTTGCTTTCTTCAATTGAGGTAGTTGGCCGAACATGGTGGCTGCCATCTTCTTCTTCAACAGTGGCTCTGATACCAATTTGAAGGTCCCAAATATCCGAAAATATTCTAAGTGTTTGGCTAACTTACAACTCAAAGGAATAGAGGAGAATGTATTATATTCCACTTAATAAAACATTACAATTGGTGGCCTTATATAGGCATTACAAGTGGAGTAAAATAATCCCTAGGAAATACAATTTACCTTTCCAAGAAGACCTTTCATCTCTCCAATAAAAGTAGGGAAAGATAATTTATGTTCCCTAGGAAGTAAACTAATTAAGATTAATTAATTAATCCCAACAATCCCCACTCTGCTTTAACCTTCTTGGATCGGATTTGAACCGCTGCATCAACAAATATCCGATCGGTCAAGCGCTCTCCTGGAGCCAGCAAGCTGGCCGCGCCTTCCAAGTCAAATACATAGATCGCTATTCGCTGGTGTGATTCGTGGCAGAGGAAAGAAATTGATAAGCTGGAAGCCGCGATGAAGAAGACGTGAATATAATGTGGATAAGCCGTGGAGATAGATTTCCCTTTTGAAATTGTCACCACACATCACGCCAATCTTACTGTGCGCACCTTCGGTTCTTCACGACGATATTGCTTTTCAAATGGGAATATTACTACGCGCTCCTAAATAAAATTAACACGCTGCTTGAAAATAATATTTTTCGATTTATCAACAAACATTTTCATCAAACACGTAAATATTGTTTTCGTGCGCTGAATCATGTAATAAGTATAAAAAGCAAGGTTAAAGTTACTTTTCTGACTGTATTGACTGAAGTTACTGTAGTTATTTTTACATATAATTTTTTCTTTATTTTATTAATAAAATATATTTTAAATATAATTTTTTTCTTTAAACAACAGAATCAGCAAATGCAGCGACTTCAGCTAAAATTTCATAAATTTCAGCAGAATCAACCACATCATCCAATTTTTGTGCTACCAAACAGGGCTCTAAATCCTGAGATTTTAATTTTTTGTTTGAATCGAAACACAAGCCTTTCATTAAATTAAAGAGTCATTTGCTACATGGCTTACAGTGCACTCCGGAGTACTACGGATCTAACTTATCTTTTTTTTTCTTACTCCACGGGACGTCAAGGGGAGGGGGTCTGGGAGGACCTGGGGTAATCAGGCCTGAAACTCAGTTCATTGAGTTTCTTAACTTCATATGCCTATTATTTGTATTTGAGTTTTTATTTTTTATCAGTTTCATTAAGTGTATCGTATACATTGTTCAGTAATATTTGTGTGATCATGTATACTTTTTCATTCATCTTTGTATTGGATTTTGTCTTTATTCTATATCTAAGTATAATCGATACTTTTTAGGATTTTTACATTTGACTATTTTTTTATTCCAGATCACATTTTGATAGTTGTATAACACACATAGAACATACATCTAATATACCAGACCAATTCAGACTAGACCAAAATTAAACAAATCAAATCGGATAATACCAGATTTGACTATACCTAAAATTTCAATCCAATTAAAAACATCCTTATTGATTTTATAATTATAAATTAATGTCTCATAATAAATGAATTCCTCTGTAATTTTAGAATGCTAGTTTAATATTACCTTCATTTTTAAATAAGTGCAACATGTTGAATTTTACACTATTCACATGTTCTATTTCGACTACGTTTTATTCAATAATATATTAATGTTTTTAAAAAATTGTTAAATTTTGAAATTTTACACACATGTGTAATCATGAAAAATAATTCTTCGTCCAAAAGGTTGAATCCCCAACCCCAAGGCCCCCCCCCCACCCCGACCCGACAGGATGGTGGAGGAGTAAATCACGGTGACTCAGTCGGCAAAGCGACAGTAGGCCTTTACCCGTGCGCACCAGAGGGTCAGCCTTATTTCAGGTTCTTAAAAACCCCTTTTGGTCGCTGCGATATTCGAACCTTGGTCTACGTCCAATTCTTTATTGGACGAGTGAATTTAAAATTGATATGGGGCAATCTAATTATTTACAACATGGCCGTGTGATCTAGGAGTAAGATTCACATTTGAAAAACAATATAATTGTGAAGTAAAGCTCAATTTTAATTAAAGGTCAATTTTGTCATACTCAGGTTACGTAAAGTAAAAATGGGGGTGCGCAAAGCAATCCCCTTTCTTAAAGGTGCACATATTAGTTGGGCTGGGCTGCACCTAATGGGCCTCTCTATCAGTTTGGATTCGAATTAATAGTGATGAGGAAGTGCGGAGCAAAAAGTGATTTTGAAAATAACACTGAAAAATGGCGCCAAAACCTGTTACGGTCGTCTCTTTGGCGCGCACATCCCTCTACGCCATTAAACACTGAAACACATATATGGATTATGGAGTATTATTCTTCCAAACGCAACTCTTCTCATAAAGCTTCATTCCCTTAACTTCCTTCCGGATCTTGAAAGATGCCAGCTTTAGCCGCACGTCGCTCGCCCAGACTAGCCGGCGGGATCAAAGCCGTGGATCCGGTGACTGTCAATGTCGAGATGCGCGTCTCTACTCCTCAGAAGCGCACGTTCGATTCAGAATCTTATATGTGTTCATCTCCCCCATCGGTGGATATGTCTCCAGCAAAGTGGAAGTCGCCTAGGCGATGCCTCGCTGGTAGCCCGAGCAGTCCCGCAATGGTAATGGTCATTCACTTTATTTGACGTACTTAGACGTTTTCTCTCCTTGATTTGAATCCTCTTTACGATTCTAATTGACTGGTTTCCCTCTCGATTATAGGAGGTCAGGGAAGATTGTTGTGATAAAACAATCAAATTGAGGAAATCACCGGTCAAAAAGAGGTTGTTTGACAGTTCCACTGACAAACCGATCTGGAATCCGAGAGGTAAGTTTAAATCACTTGACGTTATCTAATCGGTTAAGTACTTCAATTTAATTGTATCAGATAAATCACTTAGCATTTCATTCTTATTCAATACGTAGCATATTGAAGTTAATTTATAGATCTACGATGCTATGTTCATATGTATTTAATTTACAAAAGTACTCATTTTTAAAATTTAGATTTGATTCACTGCTTTTATCTGTTAAAAATAGACATGGAGCAATTGAATGTTGTGAAGGAGGCATTGCACGTATCTACTGCTCCATCAAACATAGTTTGCCGAGATGTCGAACAAAATAGGGTTCTGGAGTTATGCAAGCAATGTGTTCAGCAGGAAAAGGCTAGCAGTTTGTATGTCTGTGGATGTCCAGGAACTGGAAAGTCACTCTCAATGGAAAAGGTCAAAGAAGAATTAATTGAATGGGCTAAAAAGGTAATACACTTACATGGAGTTACTGATGCATTAAATGCGGTTGGCAATTTTACTTTTCTGCTAGCATCTATCTTAAACACTCGGACTGTGAGAGTTCAAACAAATACATTATGGTTTGTCTGGGAACTACTTTGGGCAATTTTATTAGCGTATGTAGGTAATTTGCTTCAGGATCAATAACTTATCTTATAAAATTACACTTTCTTGGTTAAAACATCATTTTATGCAAATTATCATTGATCTATTAGTACTTTGCTCAGACTACCATTCAAATCTAAACCCTGGAAAACATATTGATCACATTCAGGAGGATCTTCAGCAACCAGATGTGTTGTCCATCAATTGTACTTCTCTGACAAAAACTTCAGAAATTTTTAACAAGGTTTGTCAATTAAAAGCCATTTGGTTGCAGACTGGTGCAAGCACAATTTTTCTTACATTTTGCTTATCTTATACAGATACTTGAAAGGGTTCAGCCTCAGAAGAAGCTTAGTGGTTTGACTACACCACTGCAGCTTCTTCAGAAATTGTTCTCGGTGAAGCAGCAAGCTGGCACATCCATGATGTAAGGCAAATTCTTGTATTCTCATACTCTAGTATTTTCTATTTGGTATTCTTGTAACTCGTGAAAATTTTACTCCCTGTAGTATTTCCTCTTTAATAATAATGGAGTAATTGTGATTTGCTAATAGGTTAATAGTTGCTGATGAGTTGGATTATTTAATCACCAAAGACCGAGCTGTACTTCATGATCTCTTCATGCTAACAACATTTCGTTTCAGTCGTTGTATTATATTAGGTATGGAAATGTTCCTTTGTCTTTCATCTGAACATGTGCTTGTTTCTAGTTTTGATGCTGATTGTATTGAGTGAAGTTTTCCAAGACTAACCACTATTTGGCCTCACCTTATCAGGAATCGCTAATGCTATTGACCTTGCTGATAGATTCCTTCCCAAACTTCAGGCTTTGAATTGTAAGTAAATACTTTTAGGTGATATTTATTACTTTGAGCTTCAATATTTTATATTAAATCACTAGATATAATGGTATACATATCATAATAAATAAATAAATAAAATGTCACTATGAAGTGCTAATATATGTTCTGCCATTTTTTCTAGGCAAGCCGATGGTTATAACATTTCGTGCATACTCCAAGCACCAGATCATCATGATTCTTCAACAAAGATTAGCAGTAACTACCATATACTTGTTTTCCTTGTCCCAATTCAAATTTAGTATATATGGTGCCATATTGGTGATATTTTCTGAGCTATTTATACATTTTGTATGTTTCCTTGAACAGGCACTTCCATACACAATCTTCCAACCTCAAGCACTGGAGCTATGTGCAAAGGTAGGATTAGTAGCATCTGTTCTCACAGTGCATGCACAATTCTTTCGCAATTTCTTAATCTGTAATTTGATTTACACTGCAACTTTGATTTAACAAAATGCATTCCATCATTATGAATAACAGAAAATTGCAACTGCATCTGGAGATATGAGGAAAGCGCTTTCAATTTGCAGGTTGGTGGCATGATTTTCAGTTTTTGTATCTGCAACTTTATTGGTACTGAAGTGTATGGAAATGATAAGGTAATAAATAGTAGGACAGAACTGAAAAGGGACAAAAGGAATGCACATTTACATAACTCCTGAACATATGTATATATACATTATTGCTGCTCTAGCTAGTATATTCCAGAAACCTATATTAATTGTTTGATTATAAATGATTACATTAATTTTAATAAAATCTAGAATGTTCTCAATAAAGTGAAAATAAGATATTCCATACCCTGTGTTATAGTATTAAACATCAGCTCTGATTTTTTCATATGAGACTTTAACAAACCATAAACAATTTTCCTGTTACTGGATTTCTAGGAGTGCAATTGAAGTGTTAGAAGCTGAGATTAGACACTCCATCAACAGCCCAAGTTTGTCTATGATTGAGACGGAAGTTTGTAATCCCCCTTCTGCTACTCTGAGGATGCCAGATAACAATATTGTAAGTCACTTAAGGTTCATTATGACAAATTTGATTCCAATTTGGGATTTTGATCTTACTATTGCATCAACTTGTATAGGTGAGGGTTGACCATGTTGCTAGGGCTTTATCAAATGCGTACAAATCCCCAGCAGTAGACACCATTCAGTCTCTTCCCCAACATCAACAGGTATTTTATTTTACAATCTGGACTTCTTATTAGCATTTGGGTTTGTATCACTTAACTGGCCTTTTGTGACAGATCATCCTTTGTTCTGCTGTAAAGCTGTTTCGTGGGGGAAAGAAGGATTCGACTATAGGCGAGGTAAAAAGAGTTGTCACAAATATTAATTCAAGCATTATTTTTGTCTGGGATGTAATAAATGCTCATGCATATGGCGTGTATGTTGCAGTTGAGCAAACACTACATGGATGTCTGTAAATCAACTTCAATTCCAGCTATTGGTATTATGGAACTGTCAAGTATGTGCAGGGTGCTTGCTGACCAGGTAAAGTCTTTAAAAGACAAAAATGTCTTAATTTTATCAGATTGACAAAAAATAGAAAGGAACTAGAAACTTAGGGGCAAATTTATTTGCAGGGGCTTCTAAAGATAGGACAATCTCGAGACGCTAAATTGAGAAGAGTGACTTTGATGGTTGATGAAGCAGACATCACTTTTGCATTGCAGGTAGGCATTTTGTGTGTGCTTTTATATATGTTTGGAGGCTTGGGTTGCTCAACAGTTTTTGCTTGAACAGGGAATTCGCTTCTTTCGTAACTGTCTTCAATGAGCATGGAATTGCTGAGATGAATCTCGGCGGGATCTTATACTTCTGGTACTCTTGATTGCTTCGCATTCCAATGAATGAGTTGTTAATGAAGGAATATATATTAGTTGCATACACTAGGTATAGAGGATTTGACTAAATCTATTTATATATGTTGTAATATGATTATAGAAAGTCCTCAAATAGTCAAGGAAGCATATAGTGCGGTAAACTGTAGTATTGCCTGCCCTAGGCAAGTTGGCATAGTTTGGTTTCAATGAGCATTTGCTTATGATTATGAATAGATGAATGAGGAACTCCTTTGTAATACAACTATACAAGCATTATTATATATGTACTCGGTACAAAAGGTCAAAAGTTACTTTTGTTCATCAACTTATGTAAGTTTCTAGTCAATTGCAGCAAGTATTGTATTACGTAGTATTATAATAACAATAACACTCGGCAAACACCAAAAGGGAATTTGGTTAACCACATAATTGTATTGAACCTTACCCAAAAATCATGTTCATTGATCCTAGATTTCTTGTAGCTGGCAAACAGAAGTCAAAACTTGGATTGTGAACCAGATTGTATTAAAGTGAGTTTAATTTTTCTTTTAATGTTCATCCTAGATTCCTAGGTCGATAACGACTTGTTTTGGAACTAAACCAACATCATAGAGGCTTGGATGAAATCCTAATAGCAAACAAATTGACAAAAGGTTTCTCATTTCGATCTCATCAGTCAAATAATCCACTAAGGCCACCTTCCTCTTCTGATTCCTCAGATTCTTCTTTCTTCTCCTCTTTGGCAGTAGCAGTCGAAGATTCACCGCCAGCAGCAGCAGCATCTGTTACCGGTGCCGCAGCAGCAAATTTGCTTGGATCCTGAAAATGTTAAACAACCTTAAGCTTAAGAGCGTGTTTTATAGAGGTTTTGGAGTGTGATATCTGTTACGTTTGAAATGACTCTTAGTTCTTCCAAAATTCTCTTCTCATTTTTCTTTTTGAGTTTTCTAAAATTGACGACTTATGATAATGAAATTAAGAATTCCAATTTTGATATTTTTTTTTTCTTTTATAATAAACTTCAATCAAATTTTCCCATTACGTGTCAAATCAAATCGAGAAAAAAAATTAGAAAGGTAAAATTGAGAGAAGAGAAGTAAAAAATCCAAAACTTGTCCGACCTTCACAAACACAAAACATCATGTGCATCAAATAGAAACAAAATCTTCTCTCCAGAACATTACTTATTTCCATCCAAACAGACTTCTAGAAACATACTTGCAAAACCTTTTAAATATGTATGTATTCGTTATTGTTTTTTAGTTACACGTCTACGGTAGATTTTTCACATTTTTTTGGAAAGGGATTTTCACAAATTTAAAGACAAAATAATGGGAGATAGGACTTCTATAGAAAATTGAATAAAGTAAGCTAATGATAAAAAAGTAAAAAAGAATTCTAAGAAGATGGAAAATATTGGAGAATAATTGTTAAAAATAAAATGGAATTGAATAAGATTTGATATGCTTCATTAAAAAAAAAGATTTGAAATGCTTATACAGAAGAAGTATACATTCGGAGCACCTATACTTGGGCTATTTAATAAACAGAACCCATTAAATGACATTAATTTCCTTTAAATATATGACTCAATCGGTCAATCCTACAAAATTGATACTACATAGTACGTAGTACTGTAAGGAGAACCAAAATTCGCTATTGAACTTCTCAAATTGATAGTACATGCTATGAAATCTCTTACACATTCTTACAAATAGATTGATGTATAATCCTCATTCATATTCTTTTGTCCCATTTTTTTCTCATACTCCCTAATTTTTGTGTAGGACCTGCATACCTTCATAGTTTTTTTTTATTTTCATTTTTCTATCACTTGTAATTCACCTTTCATACTCATCTTTTCGTTTTTATTTTTCTCTACACACCACTCTCTCTATTAAATTAAACTAATCATCATATCTCTATTTCTCTGTTATGCCACATAGCATGGACTACACTCCACTACACTATACCATTTGATATGTTCTTAGTAACTTTCTTAAGAGCGTAAATTTGTCTCACTTTCTAAACTTTTATGGAAAAATTTACCTCTTTGTATTCCCTCCCTATTCTATTGTTTCTTACAATAAGGATTGCCACAATATAATATTTAATGAAAAAGTAGTAGTGATAAAAGTAGAAGAAATGATGGAATAGTATCAAAATGGAAGATGAAAAGGTATAAAATGAAGGGGCAATGAAGTATTTTTAAATAGAAAATTTATTAAAAAGAGAGATGTAGCAAAAATTAAAATTATCTTAGAAAGAAAAATGCAGTAAATTAAAGAGTGCGGAGAGACCACTGAGGGACTATATGGTTATTAATTTATGACGGGTGCACGAGTACAATTCTTAACTTTCACTCATATTAACTCTTTTTCACGTGGATTTTGTCAATTTTGAATTAAGTGAGAAATAAAAAAAAACTGTGACTGAAATTTGTGCAGATAAAGAAAATGAGTAAAACAAAACACTGAGAGAAATCGTCTTAAATAGGAGTAAATATGTTTATCTATTCCAAAATAGGACTATCATATTTTTATCCATTAAATAAGATCAATTATTGTCATGTTTTGGCAGTACCAAATATTAAGCAAGATAGTATTTTTCAAATGTGGCGGTCTTATTTTGGAATTATTTAACGTCTTTTGTCCTATTTTTGAAACTTTCTCAAAAAATAATTACTTTAATGAAAAAGTTACTAAATTTTTTGAACAATTAAAAATATCTCAAGTCATAACGATAATGAGCTAGGAAAATGTATCGGCTAACCTTTAGGTACTCTTTGATCTTGTCAGCTTCTGGGAAAGAGTAGTCAGTGGCAACAGCGACGGAAAGGACATTCTTGTAGGCATTGATGAGAACGTGAGGGAGAGCGGCAAGAGTTGGGTAGGAAAGAGCAAGAGAGACGGAGATGACATTGGTCAACCCGGCAGCAAACCGCTGGACGAGATCATCTTCGGTCAACTCCAGAACCGCCGGGCTGAACACAGACCCATTGTCATACACATGCTCCACTACAAGTCCGTAAGAGAACGGCTTGATGCCCAGCTTTGAGAGAAGAGCTGACTCAGATGACCCCACTTTATCCCCCTTCTTGATTAGATCCACTGGGGTTATGATTTCCACCGTACCTTTGTTGATCTTTGTGGCGATGTTCAACACCTGTATATATTTCCGGCCATTTTTAAATAAATGAATTTACATTACATGCATGTACTTCCTAAATAGGAGTAAAAAAAACGTTTCTGTAGATAATGTTTTGGTAGAACTAACTTTATACATGATACTATTTTCTAAATTTAACATTAATTACTTCTATTTAGGTAATAAAAACATAACAATAATATTTTTGAATTTTCAAACATTTTTACACATATTTAAGGAATTTTCCCGTTGTAATCCATATATCCTTCATCCACTTGTGCTAATTACGGACTGAATTTAAAAACTGAATAGGTAATGGTTGCTGTCCCTAAATCCTAATAAATTACTCTTAATTATTAATTACTTAAAACACACTTTATCTTATTCTCTTACTCGTGCATGGAAAAAAACCTAAAATGTATTTGGTTCAATTTTATTAATATATTTATGAGCAAAGGGAATTTAATTAAGGGAAAAGGGGCAAATAAGGCCACGTACTAACCAAAAAAGGTCAAATAAGGCCTTATTTATGAGGCCCTGTCCAGCCTTCGCCATTTGGGGTGGTTCTCGGTGGAATTTTTTGATTAATTTTTTTGATCATCTTATTCATTAAGTCTAGTTTACTCATACCAAATTTCAGATAAAAATTTAATCGAGAAGGCATTCAAATGAATTCTTGAAGATAACTGCGCTTTTAACAGCGCAATTATCTTCAAGAATTCATTTGAATGGCTTCCCGATTGAAGTTTTAGTTTAAATTTGGTATGAGTAAACTAGACTTACTGAATAAGATGCTCAAAAAATTTCATCAAAAAATTCCACCGAGAACCAACCCAAATGGCGAAGGCCGGACAGAGTCTCATAAATAAGGCCTTATTTGACCTTTTTTGTTAGTACGTGGCCTTATTTGCCCCTTTTCCCTTTAATTAAATAAATGAAATCAATGCTGCATCAAAAATTCGATTATAAAAAAGGTCACACACCCTCCAAAACTTTTTATTCAAGATTAACTAGATTATATTCCTTTCCATCCAATTAATTGCATCTTCGAGTATGCATTTACTATATTTTCATAACAAAGTTATTATTACCAAATCTAATGCAGCTCACTAATCTCAACGTCATCACGTAAAATCAGTGACAAAATTATTTTATTTAGTAAAAATAATGATACTCTAATTTTACTTCGAAAAAAGGTGGATAATTGTGTTCTGATAACAGAGTTTATTTGGAAAAATGTGTTACGTAAGTTCTTTTAAAAATGATTGAGATTATAGATATATTTTCAACTTTTATATTTTTAATACAACCTAATAATCTATGAATTATTTTGATATTTTTGGAGAATAATGTCAACTGGTCATTCTTGCTATATTAGAGGGGATTATTTGAATGTTTTGCATATTCTTTTATATAATTTTTGTTATTCTTTGAATTTTTCCAAATTCATGCACATATTTGCCGTAATTATATGATTGCCTAAAATGAACAGAGGTATCATGTAGATAGAGGACTATAAGACAAATTATGTTGTACCTTCAAGTATCATACCTTGTACACATGGATCAATTAAATATTTTAATTAAACAATTTAAATATGAATAAATGATGAAATATTAGTTTGAACCAATTAAATGCATGAAAGGTACGATATCCTCACTTTTTTCATCCATACCGCAACATTCACCTAATTAATAAGAGCTATGGATTTATACTTTGTACTTCCTCCGTTCTTTTTAGTTGCAATATTCCATTGTCATGTTTGCCAATGCATAATTTTGACTGTGATTATACTTGCATCACTATTAGTAAAAAGTTAAACACCATATTGTGAAAATTTTAATGAGATGAATTCAACAATAATTTTGAAAAAAATACTACCTCCTTCCTGAAAAATTTGCAATATTGAATTTTCTTAATCAGTGTTGGTAAACTTTGAACAATAATTTTGATTATTATATTTGTATACTCCCTCAGCCTCAAATTGTAAAATACATTTACTATTCACTTGGTCAACATAAAAAACTTTAATCTTTTACTTTATATATCAAAAGTTTATGAAATTTGAATCATTTTTTGCAGGTTTTGTAGCGGTTTTAATGTTGTTTCTGAATATATAAATTTTATTTTCTAAAACTAATTAGAGTGGTGACAGGGATCAATTTACCTTATCGTTGGTCAAACATCGTAAACCGTACGTAAAGTATCTTACAAATTGGGATGGAGGGAGTATAATTTTTAAATTGTATACATTTATGAAAATATTTTGAATAAGCAACATTTTGATATAATATTCAACTTTCATATTCAAAATAATTTCATACGTAGTATTAAAAATATAATAGGCCAAAGTTGATTTTCATTGACAAAAAAAGTCAATTTGACGTATCTTTTTGAGGTAGAGTAATATTAATTTTCATACAATAATAAATATTTTCCCGTCCTTAAAAACTTTGTATCTTTCCTTTTTTGGTTATCCAAAAAACTTTGTCACTTTCCCTTTTAATTAATGAACTTGTGGTTCTTGTTTTATTTCTTTCGGCTGCACAATTATTAACCACAATATTTTTTACTTTATTACTCCCTCCGTCCCTAAATGTTTGTCACACTTTGACTTCACAAGTTTTAAGGAGATGAATTTGGCTTGACACTGTAACGACACTGTTTGACACTGTAGCGACACTGTTTGGCACTGTTTTGCACTGTTTTGCACTGTTTGACACTGTTTGGTATAGATTTGTTTACCAAATAAGGAAGTTTAAAAAGTATGACAAACATTTTGGAACATCCGTTTCAAGAAAGTGTGACGAACATTTAGGGACGGAGAGAGTATTTTTTATGCTACAAAATTTTTGAAGGCTTGATGAAATACAATGTAATCAAAATAGAGCATATGAATAGGGTAACATTAATAATTTTTGAAAATATGAATAATTTTCCAAAGTATATTAAATGCTACTCCGTACTTCATTTCAGGATCAGATTGTTTTCATCTGCATGGATATTAAAGCTACAAATAAACATTATTGACCTGAAAGAAACTGGTATTGGAAGGATCAAGTCCAGTGCTTCCCGGTGGAACAACCACATCACACGGAGCAACCAGACCTACCCTTGCCGGTGCCCCAACCTGCAGTACAAATTGAACCAAATCATCGTCGTCGTCATATATATATATATATATATATATATATATATATATATATATATATATATATATATATATATATATATATATATATATATATATATATATATATATATATATATATATATGCATCACACACCATCCAGTAAATTTGACAAAAGAAAAGGGATCGATCTGGATCGTTGTGCGCCAGGAGAGGTTCGTATTGTATAATCATCCAGAGTTTAACATAATAATTTAATCCTAATACTACCTAATAGCAATAATAACATTTCAATAATGATAATAATAGAAATGATAATGACCTGAGATCGAGCGTAGGGAGTTTAAGCCGTTATCCATACCTTGTATTTGGAAACTTCATCGCTCACTTCTTTCAGATCTCCTTTAGTGAAGATCAACCCCACATTGTTCTGTTTTATAAACATGCTAATCATTGTCAGACTTATTGTGAAACATTTCAAAAAACGATGAAAATGAGAAGAAATTGAAGTTTTAGCGGTTTAGCCTTGAAGGTAGTGAGACAAAGTTAGAGAGAGTACTGACGACGAGATGAGGAACGAGGGCGAGAATGGCAGAGTTGCCGGTCTTCTCGGCGTGAACGCGGATGGAGCGCTTCATCAGGGTGTTCTTACCCATGAGAATGATCGAATCGCCACGGAGGCCGGCGCGTATGTCCTGGATCTGCTTGGAGCCGACATTGTCGACGGAGACGACGAGTATCTGGGAGTACGTATCCAGTAGCTTGCAGATCTTGGAGTCATAAGCTATCTTCTTCTCAGCCTTATTCACCTTCACCACCATAGCTTCCGATCGAGTGAGAGAATAGGCTGCTTCGCTTGTAATAGGAGATTCGATCAGAGAACAAAATGTAGGCGAAAGGCGGGTTGGGAGTGATAACTATATAAGCTGGATGAGAATTAGCTAGCCGTAATTGTAGAGGGATTTTGCAAGGAGGGAGGAAATCGAGAAGTGGTAGAGCACGTATTGCAGCAACAGAAGATGACAAACGACTTGAACGATATTTACTGCACAAACCCCTCAACGAAAAAACCTTCATTTTTTTGAAAATGCAACACGTTCTTTTTTATGAGCAAGTACTACCTATTAAATTACTCGGTATTTATACATGACCGGTATATGGTGAGCTATATCGTCCTACGGTTTTAGACATTGGGTATTATTTTTTACTTTTTTTTAAAAAAATCGTAATAACTTTTTTATTTTTGATCTGAATTTTATAAAATTTATATCAACATTTTTTATTTTTCATGATCTTTCAAATAAGATCAATATTGTCTATGTAATTTTAACATATTATCGAACTATTATACGGAGTATTAACCTATGTAAAATATGTAATTTTACGTGTAGAAATATGTAACTCACATCCAGTCAGGCCAAATGCAATGCGTGTGTATAAATATGTAACTCTACGTGTAAAAATATGTAACTTTACGTGTAAAAATATGTAACTCGCGTTCAGACAGGTCAAATACAACTCGTGTGTATAAATATCTAACTCGCGTGTATAAATATGTAACTTTACGTGTAAAAATATGTAACTTTACGTGTAAAAATATGTAACTCGCATTCAGGCAGGCTAAAGGCAACTCGTGTGTATAAATATGTAACTTTACGTATAAAAATATGTAACTCACATGTATAAATACATAATAAAATAAATTTTTTATATACACAATTTTAAGATAAATTGTGATTGACACAATTATTTTTCTGTATTAAATTTAGTTCGATTTTCCTTATAATCCAATACTCATTAATATAATAGTTCGATAATTTCTTAAAATTACATAAGCAATATTGGTCTCATTTGAAAGATCATGAAAAATAAAAAATTTTGATACAAATTTTATAAAAATCGGATCAAAAATAAAAAAGTTATTACCATTTTTTAAAAACAAAAGGAAAAAAAATAAAGAAGTCCGTATACCGGTATATGGTGCTCACCGTATACCGGTCATACGGTATAATTTGCCGATTATTGTTGTTCCGCTATTAATAATCTCGCCTATTGATTATTATTCTTGGGTGATCCCAATTACAGAAATCATTTTTCAAAAATAGTCCATAACCTGCTATAACTTTGTATAACAGGTCAAATTTGAACGCAAACTATGCGTAAGCTATAAATAATCTCAACTAAATCGATCTTCTTTTATCAATACCAATTATCAACTCTCCATTTTAAAAACATATATAAATATTTTTATAAATTGCCAAATTTAATATTTTTAAACATGTAAAAGTAATTATGAAAGTTCTGCCGATGTACCGAAGTTACTTTTTTTTTGACTAAAAGTTCAGTTTTTTTTTTTCTTTTTTCCAATTTATTTTTTCTAGATGTGTTAACAAGTTATGAATTTGTTTTTCAAAAAAAAAAAACAAGTTATGATTTTGTATTATTTTCCTTTATTCAATTTTACCTTTTGTGTTTTCAAAAAGTAGACTGTGATTAAAACAAATTTACCATTTAAATCTTTATTGTAGATTTTTTAATGAAAATCTATTTTATTAAATTTTTATGCTATCTTAATTGTAAAAATCAAAATTCTCTATTTTTTCAATTCTAGTATGTTTTATTTCTTTCTATTTTCTTTATTTTAGGTTATTATATATTCTATAAATTATACGGAGTATGATATAGTTTATCATTAAATTGTAGTGATTTGAGACATAGGTTTTGAAGGTTTTGGCTATGTTAATGATAATGTATTAATCTTTTAATTTTAAGTGATACATTTTTCTATATATTTTACAATTTCCATTATATCACTTAATTATAATTATAATATGAATACATTTTCATTAAAACTAGCCAAAACCTCCAAAACATATGCCCCAATTCACTGAAATTGAACTATAAACTATATTTTTATAATTTATATAAAATAAAGAAAATAGAAATAAATTATTATTACTGAAATGGATAAAATAGAAAATTTAGATTTTTAGAATTAACATAGCATAAAAATTAAATAAAATATATTTTAATAAAAAAACTAAAACAAAGCTTTCAATCATAAAAATTTTAGTCACATTTGTGACTAAAAATATTTTATTTAACTTCGGTACATTTGTAGAATTTTCATAATAATTTTTACATGTTTTAAAAAAATTTAATTTGGAAATTTATAAAAATATTTTATTTTTTTCTAGAATCGAGAGTTGATAATTGGGATTAATAAAAGTGGATCAATTATAATTGGGATTATTTACAGCTTATGCATAGTTCACATTTAAATTTGACCTGCTATACCAAGTTGTAGCAGGTTAAAGACTATTTTTGGAAAATGGTACCTATAGTTGGGACCACCCAGGAATAATCGATAGTTATGATTATTAATAACGGATCGGTAATAGTTGGGATAATTATTTTATTTTTTCCTATTTATTATCCACTTTGATTTATTTACTCCACCTTTATTTGTTTATGTATTTATTTATTTTTAAATATTCCTAGAAGTTGATTTTCCTACCTCAAGGGGCGAAGGGCCCCTCTCAACCCAACAAGACATTTGAGACATTATAAATTACGGTTACTCAGTGAGTCTAATATAATGGTGGTAGATCATGTATCGGTGCGCAACTGGGATCCAACACATCACACACAAGTTGTAACCAGGGGCGGATCTAGCATTGGCGTTCAGCAGGGGGCAAATTTAATTCAATAACACATATTGTGGAAAAAATGTCAAAATATAGTATTCCTTTAAATAATTACTTATGTTCTTAAATAAATGCAACATGTTGAATTTTACACTAATCATATATTCTATTTTGATTACACTTTATTTTTTAATGAATTAATAACTTTTTTTAAAATATTGTTAAACTTGTCTAATTGTAAATTTTCAATACCTTATTTTTTATTTTTTTTTACTAATAGACAATAATATACAGAGTATATTACTGTTCAAAGTTGTGCATCAACAAATGTGACAAGTGGACTGTTGCATTTACTTAAGAACAGATGTAGTGTATATTTAATAAAACTTATTTTCATGTTTAAAATAACATATTTTACAACATAAATGTCAAAGAAAAAAATAAATATTATGAGAATAAGATTTTTTGTCAAAATCAATTACATAAACACCTCAAGCCCATAAGTATTGAACTAATTTGTGGAAATTACCCAAACGGTTCCCTTTCATAGGCCCTATATCATTTATAGCCCAATTGTCTTTTCTTTTCATTTTTAACTTTCAAGTTTTCAATTTTGATTATCTTATTTCACGTTTAGCCACTTTCCCCAACCTGTTCCTTAAGTAAAGTACTCTCGATCATGGAAGATAAATGCAGGGGAGATTCCCAATTTCAGATCCAACAGAAAAAAATTCTCCTCTCGTGCTCTTCCCTTCCAATTCACCTATACCTTCTCCGGTCATGATTTTCATACCTTTGATCTCCGTTCTTCTCTCTTTTCACAATCCTCCAGCTCTAGCCTGTATCAAATCCTTTCACTTCCCCTTGCGACTAAGTGAAGAATCGCTATTAACTCGCCACACTCGCGATCGTCACAACCTCGGACCCCAACTCGCTGGTCGCCTCATTTGGCTCGCGTCACTGCTAGGCTCCTTGCTGACCAACGAATTCAAGCAACATGTAATTCCTTCAACTCTCCTTAATTTGACAGCCATCTACCTTCGATTTAATTTCCGATCTTTTAAGCTTCTAACCTAATTTTCAAATGCATGGATTTGCTAATTTGTATTACTTTTATAATCTGCTTCTATAACCTAAATTCTGAAATTGCTTAATATGAAAGTCCAAAATTGCTTAGCTTATATTGATTCTTATAATTTTTATGATGATTATAATTGAATTGTTGTAGTAAGAACAATTAATATATAAATCTGTAATTTTTCAATTCCTCTAAAACTTGACAGCTTCTACATATGTATACAATGCAATATATATGATAATGAAAGTAGAAGTCAAGCAATGAAGTGATCCGTGACATGCTATGATAATGAAATAGAGGTGTTTATCATATTAACAGATTTGCAATTTTGCTTGATCTAGCTATAAGTGGTAAAAACTTTAAAATGGAAGTGTTGAGATTTGTTGGTCACCATGGCGGAAATCATCATGTATTCTTGTTTGTAACCTTCGCAATGGAAGTGGTGAGATTAGTGCCTAGAATCAGAAGTATGCAGTTGATATCGAGTCCCTCCCTGAAGGTGTGGATGTAATTTATATGAATTTGAATGATGGAAGTTGTGCGGGTCTGGACTTTCCCCTACAAGAGTTGATGGCACTTCATTACCATCCACATGCATCACCAAGACGTACCCCATGATTAAGATAATGTATTTGGGGAGTGATGGAGTATATGGCCCGGGAACCCCCGACCCATAGACTCCTACTACTCCGATCAAGGCCCAACGGGCCCAGAAGGCCCAACAGGCCCAAGTCACAGCGCCCAGAGTACCAAGCAGTCCACAATGCGCACCAGAGGTGCCTTCGGCCCCTTGGCCGAAGCCTCTTACTTTCACAGGAAGGTCATGACAGCAAAACAAAGCTACTGGGAAAAACGGTGAAAATCAGTAGCCCTCGGCACCTGGAGCCCTCGACACCTAGGGGTCCCCGGAACTCAGGGCCTTCGGCTAGTCCTCTACAGCCGAGGGCACCCTGCCCGACATGATATCCACACCACATGCGTACAGATCACCGTACCCTGTACAAACGTCCCTTCCAACAGCCGCATTAAATGTGGCCACATGCGGTTGCCAGCGCCAACCGGATGAGGTGACCTCTCGGCCAATGGACGCTTGACACGTGTCCCTGTCCGGCATTTATTGCTACTATAAATAGCACCCCTTTTCCCCATTTGTAACCAAGTCA